ATGGCTGCGATAAATCGCAAAAGCTTTTATAAAACATTAACGAGAAATTCGACTGCGAAAATTAATTTAAAAACGAATTTAACGCTTTGCCTACAAGAGCGTAAAGGCTTTCAAAGAAAACAAAATGTGTGCTAATTAGAATGCTCGACTAAAAGTTGTTCTAGGCGGAAAGTCTGAACTTGGCTAGCAAGGCAAGGCAAGCACTCGACTAGAAGTTACCCTGTAACAAGGCTTGAAGCACACAAAGTCGGCATACAGACTGCGATATTCTTTAACTTATCTCTCTCTCTCTCTCTGTCTCTCCCGCTCTCTCTCTCTCTCTCTGTCTCTCCCGCTCTCTCTCTCTCTCTCTGTCTCTCTCTCTCCCTCTCTCTATCTTACCTCTTACTCCTTTTCTCTTAACCTCTTTCTCAGAGTCTCTTCTCCTCTTCAACTCCTTTATCTGTCTCTTTCCTTATAATCTCTCCCCAGTTTTCTCTCTCTCTCTCTCTCTCGCTAACTATCTTTCCAACTCTATGCAATAGTATCTCACCTAAATTTAGACATACATTTGCCTCTGGCTTTTATAATCATATCAACAACCCTTCCTAGGCACAGGGTATAACAAATAGAAGGCATGAGGCACAGAGAGGGGGAAAGCGGAAGAGAGCGGAATGCGCTTTCAGTTAGCGAGTATTTAATGGATTCTTGTCATTTTCAATTTTGCTCGATTCGTGTCTCAATCAACCTTCAGACGTTACCTTAACACAAACAAAATTTTATGTCTTAGTCACTCGACTTGGAATTGGATTTGTGTCGACTATTTTAAAGCTGACATTGACTTTAAGATTTTTCTTATGATAAAGGTAAAGATAAAATCTATTTCAAGCATAAAATGAATAACTGGAGTATGAAAATTACTTACAGTTATAATTGAATGAATACATAAATATACTTAACAAAATATTCTCTTCACATTTATTTTTAATTGTTTTTAATGAATTTCATGAACTTTTCCCAAATTGCTGTCAATTTGTTGCCATTTCGCAGAGCTTCTTCTAATTGAACTCAATTAGCAATTGATTTACAGCTGGTAAATATGAAAATTGAAACTTGGCTCGCTTCACGCGTTAAGTCAAAGACTTTCTGATCAACAACTCGAATTTCTGTGTTCTGTTTCAAGTTTCCGGCGAATATTTTGCTTGTCATTCGATGCGACATTGACATTTATTTCATTTCAACGGTCGCAGATGCGTTGCCAACTCGATGACAAACCTATTATGCCATCAAATAGGAAATACTAAACAAAGGAAGGGCCTACGAGTGCCGTAGTGCGAGCACTGCACGACTCAAAGATACTCTGTAATAAGTGCAACGAATTGTTGTCAAGAAATAATTCGACATTGAAATGGGTTTTCATCAAAATCATATCACAATTTGAGCATAAGGCCAAAGAAGAAGGGTTAGGCAGAACTAAAGGCGTGTTTTAGTTGTTTGAGCGTCGAACCAGCAAGCGGCAAGTCAGCGGTTCTAAGCCAGCAGCGAATGCAGAGACACCAGCATTTGCAACATTATGAATTTCCCATTTCCTTTTCTTTCTTTGAGATTTTCTTCATCTATGACATATCTATTTGCACAACTTTAATATAGCCTTTTTCCAAAACATATCAATTAGATACAGGGTATAAATGTAACAATAGCAACAATATCAAATGGTTTGGTCAAGTGTCCAACAATGAAATGGCTAAAAAATAACGTAGAAAGCCAGCTACAATTGCTAAAAGGTGGTCGTGAGAAGGGTGAAGCGGCAGAAGGGGCAGAAGGGGGAGAAGATGACGAAACTGTTTTGTGGCTAGCGAAGCGTGGAGCCAACTTTGAAGCAACAAACAATTTGTCGAGCCTTTGCCTCTCTTACGCTTCCTTCCCCTCCCCCTCTCTCTCACTCTCTCTCTCCCCCTTTCGAGAATTGATTGAAAAATCATTTGACTATATTTTATCCGCCTAGTTTCGTCGCATAAAAGCCTTTCAAAGCAGGCTCAACTATTGTCAACTGCAAATATGAAATATGCAACCCTCTCCCCCCCCCTTGCACTTTACCATGCCGCCTCACCACATCGACCAACTGCTTAGTAAGTCGGTCGATTCATTTTCCATATTTTCCAATTGACAAGCCGCTTCATAATTGAGCGCAAACGTTTGGAAAACAAAATAAAACCAAGCCTTGACATGAAATTCTAGACATCTTTAGATATTCATCGATTGCAAAGACTGTCAATAACTACTAAATGGACTATTTTGTACCCTTTCTTACTCTCTCTAGACATCTTTTTCTATTGTGAATTCATGCACAGCATCATTTGGTTCTGAAATGGTTCAAAAGTAGAACAAAAGTGGTTCGAAAAAGGTTCACCAAAGTTGTTCGGGAAGAAGTTCAAGTTATGCAAGTAAAATCTGATAAGCAGGATTATATAGTGTATAGTTGGGATATCTATCAATATATATATCTATATAGCTGTATATATATAAAAGACACACAATTTCCAAGGCACTTGCATTTTTAACTTGATTCATTTAACCCGTGTGACGCCGGGTAATTTCTACCCGTATGCTCTTCAAATCGATAGATAAGTCGCATTACAATCGCTATGTTTCGTATAACTGTCATTAGGTAAGTTGTCTGTAGTCGTATATGCCTCACTTGTGGTAAGGGTGTTTAAGAGAAGCAGCGCACTTTTGATTTTTCATAAATAGAACAATATTTTGTTTGTCGTTCGGCGGAAGGGAAAACAAAAACTGAAAACCAGTTAAATTGCAGCTGAAATTGAGCTGAGTAGGGGGGCGGCAAGGGGTGCGGTTGGTGCTGGGTTTGCTATTAGAAGATGAGCTGTGGGCGGGAAACACAATTATGTCGATTTCCGAAGAGACCGAGAACAAGAAACCAAAAACAATCAAACCGAAGCCCAAGCAGCACTTGGCTATTAATATTTTATCAGGAACAGTTAAAGTTACATCGAATCTATCAAAATTAATAATAATTTAAGAAAATTAAGGAGTTAGAAAATCGAGATTGACAACTTAGAGAACAAGAAAACCCCAAGCGAGTTGTGAGTACATAGGATGAGATTCTAAAAATCCAAAAGTCTCTATTTTAGAGTATTAAACAAGTTAGCAGCTGGCGAATGTTTTTCTATAAAGTTCGAAGAGGGATTTCAAAAAAAATATATTGCTCAAAATTAATTATTCTTTCTGTGTTCTTTAGTTTTTATTTCTCAAAGAACTCTCAATCTAAACATTTTTATACCCTTGCAGAGGGTATTATAATTATGTCATTTCATTTCATCTCCGACCCCATAATGTATATATATTCTTGATCAGTATCAACAGCCGAGTTGATATCCGTCCCTCTGTCCGTCGATCTGTTTTCACGCGAACTAGTTTCGCAGTTTTAAAGCTAATGTCTTGATACTTTGCAAATGTCCGTCTTTCTGTTGCAGGCGGTACATAGTTGGAACCAGCTGGATTGAACCACTGTATCATATATGTAGCTACCATAGGAACGATCGGTCAAAAAGTAGGTTCTTGCATGAAAAACTTTTTGTTGTTCAAGATGTCTTAACCATACTCGGCATTAACTATTTTCCCTGTTCCCTGCTCAAAGCGTGAAAAGGTTCGTTCTGCAAGGGTATCAAATCTTCGGCGTGTCGAAGAGGGCCTTTTTTTCCCGCCCGCACACCATCTCATCCCCTGGTTTTATTTTATATCATTTTAAATAATTTAATATATAGTTTTAATTAGGTATGTTATCAATTTAAATGTATTATCAGTGTGGTATATTTTTATAATTGAATATAACTTTCTGTTCACAATAATAATAAAATGCTAAGCTGAAAAAAATAACTAATGAATTCTATTTTGCTTCTCTTTTGCTCACAAAGTTCTTTGGGTAAAATTTCTCTAATGACAACATATTTTCAGTTAAAGTTGTTTCTTGTTCTTCATTATTCTGGCCATACACATGCAAACAAAGAGAGAAAGATAAGAGAAAACAGTTACACGCTTCGATTTTAATATTCCGCCCACACTTTATGTCAGAATTATCTCAGATTTATTCGACAAATTGGCAGCATTTGCTAACTGTAATGTAATGTAAACACGGAATTCCAATCGATTCGATTTTTTTATTTTTGTGATAAAATCTGATGAGCTGCAAAAATGCACAGCATTGAAAATTTTAAACCTAAACCAAAACCAAAACCGACACTTTTTTTGCTGCAGCACTTAAAACGCGGCGACTCATTAAAAGTAAACCCCAATCCCCCAATTGCCGCGATCCCCATACCCAAAGCACGCAGACACACACACACACACACATACAGCAGGCACTTAACAATGTCAAACGTTTGTCAGTCCCTCCCCGTGCGCCAGCTGTGACCCCTTCGCCTGATACAGAGCGCCATTAAAATGTCATGCACTTGGCGCGGCCAAAAACTAAAACTAAAACCAATTTTCGAATGCAGCTCGCAACTGCAAAACTGCCAAAAAAAAAAAAAAAAAAACAGTTTAAAATAGCCCAAAAAAATATATAAAGAATAACAGGCAGTGCGGGCGAGACAGAGAGCGCATGAGTTTTATTAGCCTGACGCTCAATTACAGCAGCACATACAAAATAGTTGCCGTTGTTGTTGTTGTTGTTGGGGTTTGCAGCAAAAACCACGAAACTGCACAGCACAAACAACGGGAATGACATATTATAATGAGAAAATGATAAAACCGAGGCTTAGGCTAAACTGATCGCACAAACACACACACACACACACCGCAGCATGCGAGTAGGAGTAGCAGAGAGGGAGAGAGTGAGCAGGAGCGCGAGCGAGAGCAATTGTCGAGAGCACAGACACAGACGCAGGTACCTAGCTGCATTTTAGTTGTAGTTGTAGTTGTAGTTGTTGTTGTTGTTGTTCTGCCTATGCCTACGCAACAAAAACAACATTAACAGTTAGAAATTGCATTTCGTTTGTTACCTTTGCCTGCGCGTGTTGTTTCCTTTTTCGACGCTTGTTGTTGTTCTTCTTCTCAGCTTCTCAGCTTCTTTTTTTAGTTTTGTTATTTACAGCTTCTGTTTGTGTTTTTTTTTCTTTCTTTCTTTCGTGTTATTCACAGATTTTGCATATGTTGTATTTGCATTGATTCTTTCTTCAATTTTTTTTCTACTTCTTTTCTTACTTTTTTGCTTGGACTTTTGATTTGTTGCACCTTATTATTTGATGAATTTTTGTATAGCACTTAGAATTTCATTTTTGGAACACACACCAGAAAAAAAAATGGATGTTTGCAATTTGTTGTTAGGCGAACGCGTACCGTCCCGATCTTCCGAACTCCCCCCGGATCCTGAGAGGTGCGTAGTTGTGCCTGCCGCTTAGCGTGGGAGTCAACGCACACACACAGACACACACAACCACACACGCACACACTCACGACGGTCCCAAAATGCGTTAATAAATAAAATAATGTGGTATGTTGGTAAAAAAAAAATAACAACAACAACAAGAACAACAAAGGCGTCGCGAACGAGTGGCAGAATAACCGGTTTACATTTACACGGGGCAGCGTCTGGGCGACCGGCATTTACAATTGCATCGAATTCGTTTCGTTTCAGCAAGCGTTCAAAAACTCTCAATAAATTCCAACCGTACCGTCCGTTGCACGACCGCCTCGTTCGGCTTTGTTTTTGCTTCTGTTCATGTTAATCTAACAGCGCATGTAGTTGACTTGTCGACGCTGTAACTCTCCTGTTACGGCCATGCAATGTGTGGCGTTCGAACATGGTGCGTCTGTTAACACGCTGTTATGGTCACAGAGCGCAACAGCGCTGTAGCACACGTTTGAGTTGCGTGTGGAACGCGTGTGGAACTCGAACCTGACAGCAAACCAATTCAAATTGCATGTAATTAACAAAAACAAAAGGCAGCTGGACATTTATATAATACAATTTTTTTAAATTAAACTATATTTGTTTAACTAAAGCACAAGAAAAGAAGAGAATCTATGCGAAATTGACGCTAGCGAGCAACAGAGTTGCAGTTGAAGGGAGTTCGACTTGAATGTGGGCGCCAGGCGAGGCTGAAGGAAAGACTGAACCGGTTCAACAGGATGCAGCTCGCTAGAGCGAGACAGAGGAAGAGAGGGAGAGAGAGAGAGAGATAGAAATAGGAGAGCAGAGTGAGTGAGCGAGAGTTGGAGGCTGCTAAACATGCTACCAAAACAAAAGACGAAAATGTTGCAACAACAACAACAACAACAACAACAGCAACAGCAAAGAGTTCTTTTTTAATTTTTATTCGGGTTTTCGCCGTGAAGTAACCGGACAACAATATTTGCTCTGCTCTAGCTAAGCGAAAATGGCAACGCTGCTGGAAAACCGGTTCGCAGCAATGGAATGCACAAAATACCAACAACAACAACAACACCAGCAGCAGCAGCGTGCAATGCATTGCAATGTACTAAACCAAAAACGGGCAAACAAACAAACCAAAATCAAAAGAGTTTGCAAACTTGCAACTGGAAGTGGCAACTGGAAGTGGCAAAGGCTATGCGAGCTGGATGTTGGATGCTGGCAACTAACTAGCGCTGGCCAGTTGCCGCTGTTGCCACTGCTGCTAGCTAAATGACATAAATCTGCGTGGCAAACAAAAGACTTAAGCAACGAACGTGGCGCAGCATGTTTGCCAGGCTTGCAACTGGATTACTGTTACACGGCCAGGCTAAGTGGCTAGCAACTGTTGACCATAACGGTACACAAAGGCTCCACTGGAAATGGGCACAGCTACGCCCAATGCCACATAGTCCATGCCCAAGCTGACAATTTTAACCCACAATTCAAAACTATTCGAAAAATGAATTTCAAATTGGGAATTATATCGAGAATATACATTTGCATTATTCACGAACATACATATATTTATAAATGGCTGGTATTGCCCGGCCTTGCCCGATTATAATTTTTTGCTTCGAATCCTTGGCATTCATATTCCCCCCGTGGGTAACTTAAATTTGCCCGCATAATTTTGAACTCCAGCTGTCAAATGAAACGTTTCATTCAACCCTTTTCCGCGATTTTTCCACGGTGCGGGGTGGAATTTTCAAACCTCAGCCTAAGCGTGCATCACATAGAGTAACTTAAGTAAAGTTTTTAGCTGAGTAGCTAAAATCAAACAATCAGTCAATTAGTCAATCAGGCAATCAATCAGTCAGTCAATCATTCAGACAGCCAGCCACCCAGACAATCAATCAATCTGTCAGACAGATTGATCAGGCTGTCAATCAAGCAATCAACCAGCCAGCCAGACAGTCAATCAGTCAGTTTGTCAATCAGTCAATCAGCTAGTCATTCACTCAATGAGTCACTCAATCAGTTCGTCAGTAAAGCTAGTCAGTCAGCCAGACAATCAATCAATCAATCAACCATTCGGTCCCTTAACTCGTCAATCAATCAATCATTCAGTCAATCAGTCAGTCCATTAAGTGTTTGGCCATAGTTTTTAATTTAATTTAAATGTAAATTATATGGATTAAAATTTATATAGCACATCAATCAAATGCAGCTGATTGAACGTTCTGTTAATTTATGAATATTCTCTATTACCTATATAAATTCTATATGTATATGTCAAATACTTATTATTAATTGGCTTTGGGCATATCAGTTAATCGACCCTGAGATTTGCCTCTTGCTATTTAACAAAAAATTATGCCCAAAGATCTGTCGAGCTGTTCTTATTGTTCTTTTTTTGTTGTCTTGTCGCATTTCAGTTTTCGGGCGAACTCTGAACTTTTTTGTCTTTGCCCAGAGACTGGGCTGCCAAGATTGGGTTTCGCATTGTGATTGTTGTTGTTGGCGATTAGAAACCGCACACGGCCAGCAAAAATCTGACCCAAAAAAATAAAATAATAAAGAACAAAATGTGAAGCAAACAAAAAAAAAAAAAAATTATGTAAAAAAAAACTTAAATAAATAAACAATTTTCTGGTGTGCTGCGAAAATTATGCAAAGCGCAGACAAATGCGCAAATTTGAAAAATGCCACCAGCAACAATAAAAGAGCAACAACAACAAGCAGCAGCTGCACTCGCACAGCGCCCCGGCCCCCCCTCCGCTCTGCTTCCCCTCCCCCCTCGCTGCTCCCCGCTCCACGCAGTGCGCCATCCACAAAGTGCGGGCGTTACGTGAAACTTTGCCACAAATCAACTGGCGTCCAAAAGTCATTGAAAAAGCAACAAACTAAAGCGAAATGTATTACTTATTGTGATAGACTTGAGGATACCCTAAAGTTCATTACAGGGTATATACTGCACGATATGAATCGCTAATTAGACGTGCTGATATTTCTTTACTCTCTCTCCAGAGAGAGAGAGAGAGCATAACATCTATTGAGCATTTACTTCTACGTGCCTTGCTCTGACTCTCTCTTACTCTCTATCTCTCTCACTCCCTGTCTCTCTCGTTTGTTGACCATCCAACGCTTTCTCTCTCATTTTTGCTATTTCTTTTGTGCTATCATACTTAAACGATTTCGGGCAGCATTACATTTGCTGCCATTTCTCCCACTCTCTTGCCCTCTCTCCCTCCCACTCTCTGCAACGCATCTGTTACCTTCCATCTGCTTTGTGTCCGCATTCTTAAACGTTTCACATACGCTACCACGATATACAATGCTAAGCTGCGCATTCAGCAACTGCTTTTATTTAAAACTCAACCATTTATGCCATTATCTCGCGTAAACACTTAAGCTTGAAGGGCTCTCTATACGGCCTGATTGACATTCATAATAGTTGATGTTAAATTTATGACAATCGATTTGGTTAAATGTCACACGCATTGGCTAATAGCTGATATGCTTGGCCCAGCACTTTTGGCCAGTTTGATGAAGTCAGCGCGAGGCCGACAAGAAGAAAAAAAAATTGCGGCCGTAAACAAATCGAAATGCGGCCGGCGCTCAACTTGCTAATGGGCTAACTCGGTGCGGGCGGCCCGACAAAAAAGGGCGTTGCTATTGTTGTTGCCTGTGTTGTTGTTGTTGTTGTTGCCTGTGTTGTTGTTGCTGCTAAACAAATATTACTCACTGGTCCGGGTCTGGCCTGTCTTGGCCCGACTTGGACTGGCCTGGGCTGGCCCGGTCATGTTGTACAGCATTGCTAACACCCAAGAACAACGTGACGACGGCCGAAACCAAACCAAACCAAACCAAACGAAACGAAACGAACCAAAAACCGAAAGCCAGCTCAAAAAACGCGTCGAAAACGCAGCCGCAGCCGTTGACTGATTGTCACGGCACGATAATGAAATAACTTGTTATACCCTATTGCCAGCTCGGGCAGAGGGGTATATTGGTTGCGTTCCAGCTTCGACTTGCTGGCTGCTGTTTAAGTTCGAGAAGTGTTTGGGAATGCCTTCATCATTTACAGTTTTAGAGTCCCAAGTGTTACTTCAGCGGCTTACTGTTTTTGTCTGTCCCACAGTTTAAGACGCACAATTGAAGATTTAATCAGTTGAAGTCACATTTAAGGAGATAACACCTTCAATCCACAGTCTGAACGCCACAGTTTTCGAGTCACAGTTTTACATTCAAGATTTTAGAATCACGGCTGTAAGGTTACACTCATAATCGAAATTTAGGCGCCACAGTCCCTGAGTTACAGTTATAGAGCTACAGTTCTAGAGTAATAGATTTAAGGTCACAGTCCTGGAGTTACAGTACTAGCATATTCCAGATCTTGAAGCAATAGTTGCAGCTTTACGGTTTGAAAGTCACAAGGCAGAGTTAGTGCGACACAGCTGCAGCGACACTGGTTTGGTGCAATTGTGAGTTACGTTTTCGACGCACAGTTTTAGACTGACAGCTGTAGAGTTACAGATTTCTAGTGGTATTTTGAAGTTGAAGAGCCACCGCTTGAGAGCTACAGTTGAAGAGAAATTGTTTTAGAAGTACAGTTTTAAAGTCTTGGCTTTAAAGTCAAGGATTTGGAGTATCAGCTGTAGAGTTACAGTTTCAATAACACATTTGAAAAGATACAGTTTTAGAGAAACTGATTTGAAGCCATTGTGATTCACGTTTTCGACTCACAGTTTTTGAGTCAAAGTTTTCGAGTCACATCTGAAGAGTAACAGACTTCTAGCAAAGTTTTAGAGTCCCCAAACTAACAGCTGTTGCTCGCTTAACATGAGCCGAAAACAGAGTATTTGTCAGTTAGAAGACTTTTACATTTTCATTTTTCGTGGTACCAAGTTTCATTTTGAAAGGAAAAAAAATGAAGTATTGGACAGAGGGGGAGTTGTATATATGTATATGGAAGGTGCATAAGCGAGTATTTGTGGCATAGTTTTTTTCTCTTTTTATTCTGTATTGTTGTTGTTGCAGTCGCTGCTGTTGTTGCTGTTGTTGGTGTTGTTGTGGCGGCTGCATTGAAACGTGCAACAACGCGCCGCATTCCTTTTGTCAAACGACTCCAAAGCAGCGACTGCGATCCGACTGCGATCCGACTGCGATTCGAAGAGTGCGGCTGCTGCTGCTCTCTGGGATCTTTAGAATGCCAGCAACGCAGCTATTTTATTTTTATTTTTCTTATATATATATTTTTGTTGGCTTTAACTTTGACTTTGGCATTCGCCAGCAAAGGCCCGCTGCAGCCCCTCGGCGCGAATATGTTTGGCTCAGCTTCAGTCAACG